GTGTTTAGTTTGGTTGCTTAGATAGACACTTTGCAGATATAATATAATAATGTGGCATGCTTTTAATATCATCCTTTTTTAATTGTCTCAGTTTTCTTCTCGTTGATTTATTGTTTCCAACTTCCTTTTTTTCTGCAGACAAACTTGATCAAAGAAAGCATAAGAATGGGATACAATGACTTTGGAGATTTCTACTATGCTCACGGTCAGCTTGGGGATGCTTTTAAAAATTATGTCCGTACCCGGGATTATTGCACTACTTCAAAGCACATTATTCATATGTGCATGAGTGCTATTCTTGTCAGCATTGAGATGGGTCAATTTACTCATGTCACAAGCTATGTTAGTAAGGCAGAACAGACACCAGAGGCCCTTGACCAGGTTACAGCTGCAAAGTTACGTTGTGCTGCAGGATTGGCAAATCTGGAGGCCAAAAAGTACAAGTTGGCTGCTCGGAAGGTTTGTTCCTTGTTTAGGTCTAGGCTGTTCATACTGGACTGTGCCTTCAACTTTGCGCTTATGATGAGAGATTGCCTCACTCTCTAACGTTTTGATGATTGTAGTCCTTTACATGGGTTACAGCAGGCAAAGGATGTTTGCCAATGAAAAAGGAATGGGTTAATGAAAGATTTTTGTAACTTCTATTATAACATGGTTACCATTATTCAATCAGGCGTGAGGGTCAGTTTTTATGGGAAAAATCATTTTGTATTTTAAGTCATTACATGCCCTTCTCCATGTCATTACAAGGTATATTGATACCTTGTACAATTGTACAAACTCGTTCTTTGTGGGAATTTGCACATGATAGGAATCAGTTAGCATTTCTGAAGTGATTTAAGAATAGTTACCTTGGTGAAAGTCCTACAAATGAACCTAAATGCATGTTTCTTGTTGATTATGGTTCAGGCTTGGTATTTTTGTTTATTCTCAAGCCCGGGGCTGTTACGACTTAATGATTAGTATACTATTTTAATTATTGCAAATCTGTATAACTCATTAATGCCGTCAATTCTTCACTTGGACTATTGGACTGGGATTGTGGTTGTACTTGGTTCTTACATGATGAGTATACTGGTTTTCTAGAGCAATCATTGTATAACTGGAATTCAGTTCTTTGGTGTTTAAAGGAGCTTCAAATGCACAAGAGTCAAGAGCAGTTACACACACACACACACAGAGGGAGAGGGAGAGATTATTAATAAATGATTACAGGTGACTAGCAAACAATTTGATATCTTTTGAGTGTCTGACATGTGACCATGCTTATTCTCAACCAATTTGGTGGTGAATGCACGTCTTTTGCTTATTATGTTTATGCTTATCCTTAAACTATCCAGTCCTCTTCTATATTTTCCACTGACTTTTCCACAATTTTTCTTTTGTCCCTCACTAACAGTGTCTTCCACTTACGAGTATGTAGCTTAGATTTGTCTAGGATTACTGCATGAGCTATTAACCATGTGATTTAACTTTGTTCGCATACTCTTTATGTAATGCAGTTTCTAGAAACGGCACCAGAACTGGGAAGCCACTACAATGATGTGATTGCACCTCAAGACGTTGCAACATATGGCGGACTTTGTGCACTTGCAACGTTTGATAGGGCAGAGTTAAAGGCATGTTCTCCATCAAATACATAGGATAGGCTTCCTTTGATATGACCTTAGTTGAGGCGTTCCTAGCATTCATAGCATTGCATCACCTCTGTTGTGTCAATTTTTTATGCATGGCAGGCCAAAGTTATAGACAATCATGTCTTCCGGAATTTCTTAGAGTTGGTTCCTGAAGTAAGGGAGCTGATAAACGATTTTTACTCAAGGTAACTTTTGTTCCTTTTATCTTCTTTCTTTTTTATTGTTCATTTGCATATTGATGGGACCTCTTCAACTGTGCTTTTTCCCCTTCCCGTGTAATTGAATGGAGACTTGATTTGTTGAATCTCAGTCTCTCCGGCCTGAGGCGGAACTGTACTGCATGGATCTTGAAGTGAAGTTCTTAATGTGAGGCTGCTATTCTGTATGCCTAAACAATAGACAATTTTTTAATAAGAATTGGAATGGAATACACGATGTTTAGGGTGTGCTTTTGTCAACGATGGTGAGATTGTGGTTGAAAAGAGATTTATGAATTCCTGATTCATTTTCCTCGGGATGGCTATCGTTTGTGATAGACTTCTAGTTTTCCATCATTGTTGTCAATCAGATGAATTTTTTTCAGTGCACCATGTTTACATTGTGAATCTTTTATAATTGGTGGAGGTCTAAGGTTGCAAGTGATTGGCAATTCTGATAGTTGTCTTTTCTCATTTGTGTATCTTATGTTTTAATCTTTCTCCCTTCCACCTCTATATATGTATTGAGCTGTTTTTCTGCCTTTTTGCAGCCACTATGCATCCTGTCTGGAATACCTTGGAAACCTTAAAACAAATCTGTTGCTTGATATACATTTGCATGACCATGTAGAGACACTCTATGATCAAATCCGCCACAAAGCCCTCATCCAGTACACACACCCTTTCGTGTCTGTTGATTTACGCATGATGGCTAACGCCTTCAAGACAACTATTGCTGGACTTGAGAAAGAACTTGAAGCTTTGATTACTGATAACCAGATACAGGTGCAGTTGGGATCATGTTATTTTGCTTTAATTTGCTTTCCCTGATTCTTATAGACTCAGATGTCTACATTGTTGTTCACAGATCTAGGTCTGCTTGTTCTCTAATAATCACCATTGTTCTATGGTTTTTATCACCCTAAAATCTAGTAAGCTTTAGGTTATTGAAGTCAAGTGCATGATAGGTGTGGGTGGGTTTTTCTCTTGAATATCTACTAAAGCTTTAGTTCATTAAAATCTGGTAGGTTTCTCCTGATATGATTGTGTGTGTGTGTTGTGAGGGGTTGGGGAGTTGCTTCCCTGTTGTTTTCTTTAGCAACCTAAGCTTTACTGTATCTTAAATGCTGCTTTTGCCAGAAAAAAATGTTTTCAGAACAGCCTCGCAATTATGTTATGGATATTGTCTCTTGACAGGCTCGAATTGATTCACACAACAAAATTCTGTATGCACGGCATGCAGATCAGAGAAATGCCACGTTTCAAAGGGTTCTGGAGGCTGGAAGGGAATTTGATCGGGATGTCAGATCCATGCTGCTGAGATCAAATCTTATCAAGCATGATTACAATCTCAAGGCATCAAGAAAACTTTGATTTTGGATTTGATGGTTGGGCTGACGTTGCAATCATCATGCTTAGAGACATTGGTCGGTTATTATGGAGAAAAGTTCCAGGCTGAAGTTCCATGAATATTGTCTGGACTTTATAGTGGGTTGTTAAACATTTCGTCCATCATTAACGGATATACTATGGCTGCTATTTTGTATATACTTTGTACGATTCAAATGAATTATTCAGTAGCCCTTTTGCTATATATTTAGTTTGCGTATTTGCTGATATGACATGTTTCTTAATTTTGTTGCTTGATGTGTAAAATCAATCAGAAGTTTGAAATGGCTCAAATTATTCTTACGCTACTTATTTCATTAAAGAGTTACATATAAGCATTAATTGTTAAGGCAAAGTTGACAAGTAAATATTAGTTACCAAAATCGCCAAATAAGTGTCCTGGTGGACGTACAAGAAGCGGATGAGGGCATTATTTTATGAGGTCATGATGTTTTTTTGTCTTTTGCCCTTTTTCTTTTTGGTTGTGGTGGGATGACGAAAAACAGGATGTTACTCTGATGAATTGATTAAATTGATTCTTCAGTCTATCCAGATACACATCCTATGGTTCTGGGTTAAGCGACCCTTGTGCTGGCGTAGATTTGTGATTTGTTTTTTTTTCGGTGATTATTTGTGATTTGAATTCACTGGTCCAGTGCCTTTTGAAAGAAGAAAATGTAGGACCAGTGTATTCAGCTTATTAAAATACACTGAAAAAACCGTGACAGTCAAAATATACATAATCTTAAACTTTCATATTAGCGGGTGAAAAAGGTTCATGATTCATGGAGTTCTGATTGGATCTGATGTATTAATGGATATGATATACTGACGTTATGACTGATTTGAGAGCTTTTCTTTGATTTCCAAGTGACGACCACCTTATACGGAGAGGCTACATGAGGACCATTCCTAGACGGCCAGGCAGACTCAACCGTAAGTCAGCCCAACCAGCAGCCATGCTCCGGCCACTTGGTCCTCAGTCATGAACCAAGTTTGGGTTGTTGTCTCCTTGAAACTCAAGGATACACAGGTAAAAGCTTATAGACCAGATAAAAATCAGATCAGACACAAAATCGATTAAGATAGAAGTTCAAAGGGTTAGTGAGTTAGAATGGGATCAAGTCGGAGTCAAATCAGTCATATTAAAATAATATATAATTTAATTGAAAATAACAAAATATAATAACATTAATAATTACTAATAATAAAATATAGGAAAATAAAACAACATTTTAATTGTAACAATAACAATGTACAACAACATTTAAAATACTTATCTTTACAATTTTTTAATAACTAAAATTAACCATTGATACCAAAATCATTAGTAAAAATTCATTCAAATCTATAGTAACTAAGATATTAGGAGTTGAATAAGAAACAATAGAACTAGTAGCAATATAATCATCCAAACCAGTTCATTATCGATTCACATCAATTGCATCGGTTCAACTTGGTTTAACCATGGTGACACCAGTTGAGTTTTTTGACTAGTCAGCACTCAATTAGACTAGACCGTTGGTCAGTTTTTCAGTTTAACTAGCTAGTTTGATTCGATTTTTTATTCATTGTGTTTAAAGTTGAAATGCTTATATATTAAAGCTGGTAAAATGACCCCTCCCCCCAAAATTTTTTTTTCCAATTTTTCATTCAACGGTTGAATAAGGTTTTCATATAATCAATATCATTTATATGTATCACAACATAGCATAAGTCAATTCTCACTTGGCCCTCAACTTTTGAACCTGAAAGGTCACTTGGGTTTGCTTTGTGGAAACGGTTTGGAATTTTAAATTTTAATTCTCAAGTAGATTATCTCTTTCTCTAAGTGAATGAAAGACAATACTTATATCAAGTTTTTTTTAACCAAAACAATATATTTTCATAAAATAGAAACAAAAAAAATGAAGAAAATACAAGTCTAACAAGAGGTCCAACAAAAAACCCATTAAACTAAAAATCCATAATAACGCGAAACCTAACCTAACACCAAATTAAAGCAAGAGGAGCCTTTCACCCCCCAAAAAAAAAAAAAAAGCAACTGGAGCCGTTGCCGTCAAGTTCACCAGAAAGCCCCATCGTCTTGTTGTCGGAATCTCCGGGGAAGAAAATGCCATCACTGGCAAAGACGCCAAAGTAAAAGGTGGTGGTTTGAAAACCCATCTCGAAGGACCCGTCCTTCTTGTAGGCCAAAGAACAACCAAAAACGGTTGAAAGGCAAACATGAAAAACCCGTAGAAGCTAGAAGGTAGAACACCCATAGCCACTAGCAACAATGAACGGTACTAGAGGAGGAAGAGAACTCACCTTTGGCTACCCACTGAGCAGCACTGCTTGGTGAATTTTATACCTTTCATCAACACCTTGGATTCGCCACCGCCGAACAACACCATCGACTGTCATAGAGCATTTGGTAATTAAAGTAGAGACAATCGTCGACTAAAGCCTTTCCCACAAAACGCAATTCCAAGCCATCAACTCAGATCAAATCTATTACTTTTCGTTCTATCATCGAAAAGAGAGATGCCACGAACAAAAACCACAGATCTAATAATAGTAGAAGAAACAAAATACACCGCCACTAAAACCCCATTAGCATATAAAACAAACAAGAGGTCGATGTTCCCTTCCGTGACGGAGAGCACAGAAGAAGGAGACGCCATAATGATGACTCAACCCGACAGGAAAACAAAGCTCTCACCACTGAAGAAGTTTCTACTTTCCAGAGACGGGGAACAAGAGCTCGCCCAAAAGCGGGAGATTCTTTCTTGTTTATCTAAGTTTTATATATTCATTATCTCATATTTTATTTTTAAGATATTAACATTTAATATTATTTAATTATAAATTTATACGAAATAAAAAAAGATACGTATCTATGTGTGATTGCTGAATTTGACATATTAGATATAAAAAATTTAACCAAAATTTTTTTTTCTATGAATGAATATCTAAGGTTTAATGTATAGGAAAAATTTTACCAAAATTATCTCATATTTTGCTAATCACATATGATTATATGTATTTTATTTTTAAAATATTAAAATTTAATATTATTTAATTATAAATTTATTAAAAAAAAAAGATACATATTCATGTATGATTAGAGAACTTGACATAATATATATAAAGAAGTTGACCAAAAAATTTTTTTTTTTCTGTGAACGAATATGTAAGGTTTAATATATAGGAAAAATTTTACCAAAATACCTTCTGAATTTGCAAAACCTAAAAAGGTCATCCTTCCAAATCAATACTTGTGACCAAAATGAAATTTACAAATCATCAATATTGCTAAAGTGGGATTTAATCCCACCAAATCTTGAATTCCAAAATTCTTAATGACCATCCAACCACTAAACTTCATTATTAGTTGAGTGCAAAATTATATATGAGATAACTATCAAATTAAAATGTTCTTTTAAAAATAATTTACTACCCTACCAGCAATATTAATAATACTTTTACTCAATTTCACCATTTCATCAATTTCATTTACAACAACTTTTTTAATAATTTCAACACTCGAGCCGATACAAATAAGAGGGTCGTGTTTTAAATCATTCACATACACTATCGATGACATTTACAACATTTTTACTGAGTTATACCATTTCATTACTGCCATTTACAACAACTTTTTTTACATTTAAATACTTGGGAAAATACAAGAATGTCGTGTTTTTTAAACAGGGGAAAAGTAATTTGGATATCCTTATAGTTTCTCTCTATTTTGAATCAGGTCCTCAACTTTTTTTTTCTTTTTATGGGTCTTTTAACCTTCAGCTGTTACACATAATAGTCCTTGCTGTTAAATAAGATCAAACACCGTTAAAATTTTCTGTTGGAAAACGTAGCACCACATCCGAAACATCTTCTCCATTGAAATATCTTCACCGTCTGTGCCTACCCCCTTACCCAAGCTTAGACCAAACTTTCCTCCATCATTCGCTTACTGCATCAACATCTTCTCCTTCCCCTCCTTAACGCACAAAATTCAAAATGAATAACAAAACTACTACACTTTTAAATTAATCAATATTAAAAAGTTAACCATGATAGAAAAGAAACTTTGTAAAACATTTAGAAATACTATCATGGTTATATAAACATCCTAAATCATATGAGATTAACCATGATAAAAAAAAGAGTTAAACCAATCCATAAATATGTCTATCATGGTGAAAAGAACTTTTCTAAATTAACTGCGTGTAAAACGAGATTCATAGTGGATAGGCTTTGGGCATTATGAATCCAGAATAATAGAATATCATTTTCAACTATAAGCCCATAACACGATTTTACTAAATAACACCTTCCATAACTTTCACAAATCAAAAGTCATTTGATGTCAAAGATCATTGTGGATTTACCACTCATATCAAACAAAAGAAATCACACGCAAATATCTAAAGGCTTCCAGCCTTCTGCCAGCATGCAATCCAGTAATAGTTATCAAAAGCATACTATCAAAAATAATCAATCTCAAACATATCAAAGTATGTGGAATGGGCCTTATCATGACAATATACATCTATCCAACACAATCAAAAGAGTGGAAGCGCTACAATTTTGTAATAGCAGCTTAAGCTTTTAGAGCCTTCCCTAACTGACCCGAGCATGAACTATCACCTGGAAAAGTGTTAAATCAACAGGGTGAGACAAAAGCCTCAGTAAGCAACAATCCTACTTATCAAGCATACAAGTAAGTGCTCGTGACGTGTCAAGTGAGACAAATGCAAATTCATAGTATTCCAACAAATTTCATATTGTCAAAGCATATACAAAGTACAATTAATAATCTTTTCAACTCCCTTATATCCATCCACCTTATATCCTCTGACTGAACCCATAGGCTAAATTCTCATCCATGTGACTGGTAATTAGACAAGCTCAGCGATCAAGTGATATGGACTAGCCAAAATTCACAGAGCACAAGATCGAACCATGGGTTCCCCCTCTAGTCTACTAGTGGGGTGTCAATGCCTTATAATGAATAACTAGGCCAAAGGACCAATCAGTGTACACCTGGTGGCCCTACCACCTTATATCTTCAAATATACATAATTCACCCCCTTATATCCTCTTTGGTATGGTACCCATCATCAACATCTGCCACCCCTCATCAACACTCAAAATATTGCATTCATAATAAATCATCAACATGTAAAAATCAATTTGGATTTTCAATTTTCAATTAACTCATAATACCTGAGGTCATCATAATCGTAAACATATATCTTCTGCAAAGAAAGTCTCACAAGACAATTTTAATAACAACATACTTTCATAGCTCACATCATAATTCAATAATATTTCATAAATCCATTATAATTCAAAATCAATCATAAACAACCTACGAGCATGAATAATAAGTGAAAAGTGGCTACCTCTCGTCTAAGACAAGGATTACCACAAGGTTAACCCCGTGCTCAGACCAATAGTCCAATAATTTAATCTACACAACCAATACATTTACAGATCAATACACAAGCTATTTGATTAATTACTTAAACTAATACATACATATATATATATATATAAGTTAAAGTTTCTAATTCTATGCTAAACCCAAACCTCTCATAACCTATAATTAAGTCTTTTAGCACAAAATTAATATATCTCCACAATCCATAATTTTCATTTAAACCTTTCAAAATATTTACTTTAATACAGATTTTTTCCTCAAATTTTTAAATATGGAATTATCATATTTAAAATTCAAAAATCCTATCTCAACTTTAAATCTCAAAAACCAACCAATAGAAATTCAATATACATCAAATACATCTAAGTAGATAATTTAGTCAACAGTTTCATAGTATAAATATCATATTTCTCATAAATAAATACCTATTTAACTAAAATAATTCATTTAAAAATGTTGGATCAGTCAATAAATAAAACTAAACTGATAGAAATGATATACTAAAATAGCTCTACAATATTATACTCATCTATCATCAAAACTCAACACTTGCTTCAAACTCTAAACCCAAAAATTGTCTCTAAATAGCATAAAACTACTATCATTAGATAAATTTAGATGAGTGCAAAAACTTTCATGAAGAGAATTTAATGAAAGTCATTTGGCTTACCAAAATGATCTACAAAGTTGAAAACCCTCCTGAGAGAGTGGCACTGGAGAACGAGGAAAAAGAAAGACGACGCTCTCTATCCCACTCCCAACGGTTAAAATAACATTTTGGGGTAAATTTCGGTTAAAGACTCTTTGTTAGAATGGGACAAAATTACAGTTTAGTACCTCATTTTTCCTATTTTCTATGCATTTTCTTCTTCTTCTTTTTTTATCCGTTTTATTATTATTATTCAGTAATTTCCTTATATATATTTTATAAATTTATTTTCAATAATTCTTTTTTCTTAAATAAATAGAGAATAAAACTCATTTATTAAGTATTAAACTCCTTCTAACTTAATTAAACACTAGGAATAAAAAAACTAGGATGTTACAAAGAATAGATCATCACATACATCAGCAAAAACAAGAACAAGCACTTTTAATAATTCCACAGTTCATATGCAACATGCCCATCACAATCGTCCATGTTCCATAGCCACAGTGGCTCGCACATCCATCCCTCTCCTTGGTCTATGTGCACAACCTCCTTCACCAGTTCCAATATTATCATCCCGCTTAGTTTCTCCAACTTGGTACCCAGGTCCATTATTGAAACTAGCCACAACAAGGATGGCTTGTTGATAGGCCGAACTTATCTGAGCAGCCTTCAACAACTAGCACCGTCACTTGCATGTCTCGAGGAACGAGTGACCCAGGACGAGGAAGGATGTTGATCAGTTCTAGGAAATCGAGAATTGCATAGCTTCCTTTGATGCTCCCAAAGCAGAGACATCATGTTCTTTGACTACCATTTTTAGAGTTGGGAATGTAACGAGCAAATTTCAAAGATGCAGTTATCCCAATTTTGAAGTGAGAAAATGTTATAGGTGAAGGAATGGTGAGGTCAGGAGCATGGTGAGAGAGAGAAGATGTTGAGAAGCGAGCTAAGGAGGGGGGAAAGCTTGGCCTGAGAGCTTGGGTATGGGGGAAGAGATAGACAATGAAGATGTTTCAGAGTGAGAAGATGTTTCAAACGTTCTACGGCGATTTCTAACAGAAAATTTTAACAGCATTAGCTCCTATTTAACTGCAGGGCTAACACATCTAACTGTTGAAAGGCAAAGGACTCCATAAAAAAAAAAAATGTCCAAGGACCTGATTCAAAATGGAGGAAAACTAAGGACCTCCAAATTACTTTTCCCTTTAAGTAATTTACTGCTACACTGCCCAACAAGATTGGTAACACTTTTATTGAATTTTACTATTTCATTAACGTCATTTACAGCAATTTCAACACTTCGGAAAATAGAAGTAAGAGGATTGCGCTTTAAATCACTTACTGCACTTTTAAAATCTCCCAATTTTTGAAATTTAAATGTGATCATAAGTAATAATTTAGAATTTTGGACGGATCACCATTTGGGGTTTGGAATTTTAAATGGTATTTTTGTAGCATTTTTCCTAATATATACTTAAAATGCAACAAGGCATAAGGGTATAAAAAACTTATTTTATAAGTGAAAATTTGTTAATTATGTTTTAAAATAACAAGGTAAAGAAAAAATATATTAATATTGAATAAATAAATGATTGTATATTGTTATGAAAATAAGAAAAGTACAAAGATTGAGATGAGGGAAAGGGAGAAAATTGGAAGAGAAAATAAGGAG